TACTATTCACAAAGCACTTCCAGATGCATACTGCCCAATTGGCCAAACAGGAGTTGTGCAATAAACTACATAACCTAATTGTATCATGCTGGTTACCTAGGTGTAACACCCAGCAAGCTTCCATTGACATAACTTTATATGATGCTAGAACATACAGGATTTCAGTCATGATTTCAGTCCTTGCAGTGGAACCATGTCAGTACTGAATAGATCACTGGCACTTTCTGCTCTGAGAATGCCAATCCCGCTCCTTGAGTGAAAATAGAATTCAAATCCCAATTGCCCACTTCCTCCAAAATAGCCACATTTGAAAGCACCCACCATCTTTTTACAAAATTCAGCAAAATATTTTATTAGGACCACAAAAAGGTTGACAAAGGCAGAGGGGGTACATACTTTTGTCTTTCTGAGAACTCCTTTTCAGGCACGGTGGTATAAAAAAGACTGGGCCTGATGTGTTGACCACTGGGTGTCTTTCTGTAGCTGCAAGATGTTGAAGTCGGGCTCTGTGAAGAGAAAAGTTACTGAAGTATCAATTTACAGCCAGTCTTCTGGTCAGCAGAGGATGGAGAGACTCCATTGAGTGTGCATCTCAGCAAGCTGCAAATGGATCCATCAACCCCTTTTCTCATTGCTGAATTAGCAATTTGACATCTTGCAACTACAGGGAAAGACACATAACAGACAAAAACACAAAACTTAAACTTTTTAGAATCCCCTAAATATTTGTACCATCTTGCCCAGTGAAGAATCTTGAAGAACACAAAAGCTCACACTCTGTGCCACATTTGTAACACTACAGTAGTCCTAACAAAAGTTATTGCTGAAGTCGTGTCATTATTGGGGCTTCATGCCAATAGATAGGCATGGTAGATTTGTGCTCTACAGCCTACTAGCCCACTATTGTACACATGTACCTTTTGTAAGGGTCCTGGTGTAACCAACAATATGTACACAAGTTCAAAAAGACCACTACAATAAAAAAGGAAAATACATCAAGGGTAATATCCAACATAATCTTATTTGCACAATGGCAGAAGATTACATCAGATATTACCCTCAGCATAATTCCCTTTTTTTATTACATCTCTCTTTCCAAGCTGAGGTGATATTTCTCCTCCCCATAGAACCAAAACCAATGACCAGCTACCCAATCAGCTGGAGAAGAGAAAACGACAAGGCCAATATCATGAACCTTTTGAGACATCCACAATTTCTCCCTTTTCTTCTTTAAAATCACCATCCATCCTGAGAGAGGCTATATGATCCAAATAGGGAGTGTAGAAAAAAGGAGGGGAGCCTCCTGTGCTTTATCAGAGAAGGTAGAGGAAAGGAAGAGAGTGTACATAAGTGATACAGCAAAGCTGTGAGTGGATGCTAAGGTCAAGGAAATTCAAAACGGCCAGGCTTCTCAGCAATTTTCCTTCTCCCTACAAAATGATTAAATCATGGAATAATGGAGTTGGAAGGGCTTCTAAGGCCAAGGCCAACCCTTTCCTCAGTGCAGAAACCCAAATAAAAGTATATCTGACGGATGTTTGTTTAGCTTTCTCTTGAATGCCTCCATCACTGGAGCACTCACCGCATCCTGAAAAAATTGGGTCCATTGCCATGCTGCTCTAACAGTTAGGACATTCTTCCTGATTTTCAACCGAAATCTAGCATCTTGCAACTTGAGACTATTACTGTGTGCACTCTGGGATGATGGAGAACAGATTCTATCCCTCTTCTGTATGACAACCTTTCAAGTATTTGAAGAGTGCTACCATATCACACACACCCCATCTTCTTTTCTTAAGTCTTATTCAGTGGTGCCTCAATTTACGAACGTCCCAACATACGACCATTTCGAGTTACACCCAGCTCCAGCCGCAAAATTTTGCTTCTACTTGCGACCAGAGCTTCGAGTTACAACCAGAAAAAGGCAGGGAAAAAAGGTGGGGAATTCAAACTGCTAACCATTGGTAGCAAAGAGGCTGCTTCTTTGTAGATCTTTCGCCCCAGCAGTTAGAGAGTATGCAACTGGAGGAGGCTTCGGACTGCCTGATAAGGTGCTGCTTTCTACTTTTAAAAAATTGTTCTGGGTGGATTTTGCAGTGTGGTTTTGGGCTGGGTGGTGAGATTATGTTTCTATGCTGTGATGGGTCTTGCAGAGTTTGTTTGCTTTTTGCTTTGCTTTTTTGCATTTCCAAAGGGTCTTGCATGGTTTGTTCTCCTTCCACCGGAACGGATTAATCGTGTTTCTGATGGGTCTTGCATTTGGTGGTGGTGGGGTTTTTGAGGGTCTTGAATGGTTTGTTCTCCTTCCACCGGAATGGATTAATCGTGTTTCTGATGGGTCTTGCATTTGGTGGTGGTGGGGTTTTTGTGTTTTTTCTTCGGCCGGAATGGATTAATTGTATTTCACTGCATTCCTATGGGAAATGGTGCTTCAACTTATGACCATTTCGAGTTAGGACCGGAGTTCCAGAATCAATGGAGTCTGTATGTCGAGGCACCACTATAATCCATTTCCTTCAATCTTTCCTCATAGGGCTTGGTTTCCAGCACCAATAATTTGATGCTTAAATTCTTTTGAGGCTTCAATTCTTTCTTTGATTTTTAAACATGTCCTTCCCTGTGTACCAAAGTTACTGATACTATTTATGGTATGATCTGACAAGGAATGCGTAGAGCACTGAATGGGGGCACAGTCTGTTTATCACTAAGGAAAGAGACGTTGATACTAATTCCAGTTTTTTTAAAAAAGAGCAGATGTCATTGGAGTCACTATAATGGCAGGGGTCTCCGGATTTCGTACTCATCCCAGTCTCCGGCACCCCCATAAATCTCTTTGAAGATAAGGGGCAGCTTACAGATACTAATTCCAGTTTTTTTTAAAAAGAGCAGATGTCATTGGAGTCACTATAATGCCAGGGGTCTCCTGACAAATCCACCAAAGTCCCCCATGCCAGGTCGGAGATTCCCAGAGTTCTAAATCAAAAGTACTCTAAGCATGAGATAAGTGTTATTCCACCTACTTGAATGTGTGAGTATTTATTTATAAATAAATAATAGTCAAACCACTTCTAAGCACTTCTGCATCTCATTTGAATTCAGTAAGGGAAAGTTCATAATTGATTTCTCTCATTCCAATCTTAGTATTTTTTTTTAATATGCTTGACTATGGCAAGGTCATACACAGTAGCAGTTGCTCGTCCTCAATCCATGGGATAGACAGGCTGCACTTACTATAAAAATGCATAGTACTTAAGCTAATGCAAGAATATATTTCAATAAACATGTTTAGATTCTTATGTCCATGTAGTGAAGACCAGTTTATTTTCTCTCAAGGATAAAATCCATATATATTTGCTAGAAGCAGAAATGTTGTGCCCATAAAAAAACTGAAGTGACTTAAACAAGCAAGCTGAATGACAACTTAATTAATTTAAGCATGCTTACAGTTCTCATGACCCAGACGTCATTCTGTGTTACGTGGTAACAGCTACAATATAGGGACAGTCAGAACTGCATGTTTTACTAAGCAATCATGAGGGTGGGTGAAAAAAACCAAGTAGATTTCATTTTAGTCACAGAGAGCCAATTATAATGGCCCTTTGGTTTAAGTCAGTAGGTCCCCTTTCCTGTTTATCCCTGAAGGAAGGAGCTGCGTTGTTTCCTTCCTGTTCTCAATCTCCTGTATCTGCAGACCATCCACAGATCCATAACCTGATCCTCCATTAAGCTGTATATTGCTCTTCCCGTTATAGGATATAGTGGAGAAGGCTGGTGTTAGCGGCAATTATTTAAGCCTAAATCAGCCAAACAGATTGAGTGATTTTAAAGAGTGGTTTTTAAAAAAGGTTGCATTTGTCTGTAATCACAAACAGAAAGGACAAAGAGAGAGTGTTATAGTCACATAGCATCTAACACCGTGTCTCCCAACCTAGGGGTCACAAGGTGTTTTTCTGGGGGTGGGGGGTCACAGATAGCCTTTTCAAGACCTTGGAGTTTTTGCTATGATCTCTCTCTCTCTCTCTCTCTCTCTCTCTCTCTCTCTCTCTCACACACACACACACACACACACACACACACACACACACACACACCTTTCCCCGCTACATTTTGACTAGGGTATTGGAGATTGAGTAAACAGTAACAGAACATCAATGTGGTATTCCATGGCTACGCTTTGCTCATTTGATATCCTTTGTTTATTCGCAGAGTCAGCATGCTTATGCTTTTGGGATGGAAGGTCATCCACTACTACTACTACCACCCTATGTTGTCTCCTGCTATATACAGATTGGCTCACCTGCTTGAAAAATCTACAGCTGTTGGCTCTCCTGACAGCAGTAAGAAGGATGAGTTCAGTGAACTTAGAGCTGTTCGAGGTGACATGGAGCAGGCAGAAAGAATTTATTCATACACTGTTCTGAATGCCTGGCATCTTCCTTAAAGCAGGTTATTTTGCCTGCAGAAACTGGGTGAAGATATCAAGTATCTATATATTGAAGTGGATGTTGCAATAACATGCTTATGTTGCACAACTAGTAGCAAAGGGCCTGGCTTAAGTGAGGCCTCAGATTCAGCATACATCAGAACTGACTTGATGGCATGCAATAAATATCAAGGAATCCTGGGAAGCATACATAAGAATTTGAATCTAAGTCTCTTAAACTAGTTTAGACAAATTTACTACTGTACCTGTCAGCAAGATCTCCAAAGATCACAGCTCCGAGAAGGACTCCCATCATAAATGTGGGCTGTGTGAGTTTGGCAAGCCACTCGTGTTGACATACCAAGTCCCATTCTGTCACAATAGTGCTCTGCCATTTGCTGTGATCATAGGTGAATCCATCAACACATGGGAAATCAGTTTTATTGCCACTGTATGCATAGGTGAATTCCGAAGTGTCTTCTCGTTTGGTCCTGCTGCACCGATTAAGTTCCCAAACATCTCCATTTGTTAGCTGGACCAAGATATAGCTTTCTGTTGATGTCCAGAGTGCCCATGCATCTTCTATTCTTGAACTAGATGAATTGTCAATGAGGACACTACTCACATTTCCAGGAGCACGACACACAAACTTTGGTGTAACAGCCAAGAAGACAGAGGCCAAGTAGTGAATGCCACAAGAAATAGACTGAAATACAGATGCAAAATACACCCATGCCTGATACCTGGAAAGGAAGATAGATAACCCATTATCAATATATTAACTATTACAATTATGCCTTGCTATTTTAAGTGTATTTATTCATCTACTTATTTCAGAGAAATGCATTCATTTCACAGGAACTTACCTCAATGATGGCAGGTCAGTAAAAAAACTTTAAGCCATGAGGGTGTTGATATGATCTTTAATTTATGGTATGCCATTATTACACCCAATTTTTCAGATCTAGGGTTAAAGCTAATACATGCCAATTTTGTCTGCAATCTCTGAGTAAATTCAACATTAGACAGAAATTTGCAATCTGATCTCCTAGTACCGATAAGAAATTGTATCCACAATAGCTTTGATATATGGAAGCATGAAGGTAAAAGGAAAATGGCTACAAATAAACAAATTACAGTATTTGCCGGCATATAAGACGACTGGGCGTATAAGATGACCCCAACATTTCCACTCAAAATCTAGCATTCGTTATATACTCGCCATATAAGACTACCCCCTCCCTCTGCCTTTTTCCCCGCCGGAGGGGCCAAAGAGGGAGGAGAAGGAAAGCAAGTTTCTGGGCCGGGCTACCAGCTGGCCCGAGGCAGAGGCCAGCGCCTGCTTGCTCACCCAGCCCCTGGAAGTCTCCTTGGGAGCCCAGCATGGCGGCGGTGCTGGTGACGAGCGGGGTGGCGCTAGCAACGAGTGAGGTGGCACCAGCTTGTCGTAGGTGCCATTTGCTTGCCAGCTTCTCTCTTGCTTGCTTGCTGCAACAGATTAGCAAGCAAGCAAGCGAGAAGCTGGCAAGCAAACGGTGCCTGGACAAACCAGCGCCACCCCGCTTGTTGCCAGTGCCACCACCACACTGGGCTCCCGAGGAGACTTGGTAGGTCACGGGAAAGAAGGAGGCGGCGCTGCTGCTGCTGCTTTCCGCAAGGGCAACTGTGCAAGGTAGTGACTGAGCCGGTGGGGACCGAGCTCCTCCCACTTTCCGGGCTGGGCTTGCCTCTCCATGCTGCTTCCTGCTGGGCCATGCGGCGCCTGAGAGCTGGAGCTGCCCGCTGCCTCCTCGGAAGAAGAGGCGCCACCTCCTCTTCTTCCTCCTCCTCCTCCTCCTCTTCCTCGTTCACCTCTCCTCTTTCCTCCTTGCGCTACGTGCTGCCCACTCTGGATGCACCCGGTGTATAAAACGACCCCCCCACTTGGAGGCATGTTTTTCAGGGCAAAAAAGTCATCTTATATGCCAGCAAATACGGTAAACCCTCTTTTGTTCTGATAAACAACATTTAACAACATATTGTGTCCCTCACCTCTTCCTTTGCACTCATGTGACTTTCAAAAGTATTTATTTAATTATTTATTTTTACACCACTTTTCTCCCAATACAAGGATCCAAGACTCAGAGAAGTGTAAACTCAGAAAAAAAAATTTTAAACAGCAACTTTGTCAAAGGGAACTGGTAAAGGAAAACAGTATTACAAAACAAACAAACAACAATGTATGTGGATCTGGTCAGCCTGTTTAAGGCAAGCAATACTAAACTATTTGGTATACAGTGGTGCCTTGACTTACAACCGTCTTGACTTGCAACCAATTTGAGTTACAACCAGCTCCAGTCGCAACATTTTGCTTTGACTTGCAACCGGTGCTTTGAAATACAACCAGAAAAAGGCTTCTTTTCCCCATTGTTCACTCCCTCCTTTCCTGCCCTTTTTTAAACCTTAGATGTCATCTTAGGTTAAAAAAACTGTCCCCCTAGTGGATGGATTAACTGCTTTTGCATTACAACGGCGCTTCGACTTACGACCGTCCTGACTTGCGACCATGGCGCTTCGACTTACAACCGTCCTGACATGCGACCAAATCGAGTTATGACCAAATGTTGGTTTGACTTGTGACCGGAGCTTTGAGATATGATCAGATAAAAGGTGGGGAATTTGAACTGCTAACCGTTGGTCGGCGAAGAGGCTGCTTTTTTGTAGCTCTTTCACCCCAGCAGTTAGAGAGTGTGCGTTCTGAGAGAGGCTTCGGACTACCTGGTACTTCTGGAATGGCTTTGTTTGATTCTGGGGGGGGTTATGTTTCTGTGCTTTGATGGGTCTTGCAGTGGAGCATTTTTAGTCCCTGCTGGAATGGGTTGTGGGTGTTTTTTTTTAAGACTCCAAACCCTCCCCCTCCCCAATTGTCTTCTCTCTATCCTCTCTCCTTTTGTGCCTAAAAGCACAAACCTTTGTCTGAGGGGTCTGTGTATGACCTTCTTTCTTTCCTCTTTTCCCTATTGTTCCCTCCCTCCCTCTTTTCCTGTCTTTTTTTAACCTTCAAAAACGGCTGGAACGGATTAATCATGTTTCAATGTATTCCTATGGGAAATGGTGCTTTGAGTTACAATCAACTTGAGTTACAACCATCATCCCGGAACAAATTAAGTTTGCAACTCAAGGCACCACTGTAATTTAAAGTATCCATTTAATTGATGTAAGTGGCAAAGCTGACCTTAATATTTAGCCAGGATTTTAATTTTAAAATAGCTCACTTCCTTTCCCATATTAACATTGACTGAAATCTTGTTCAAGTTGGCTCCGGAGGAGTGCCACACTTTACAACATTGCACAAATGATCATGTATTTTGTGTTTTATGGTTGTGTGGTTCACACTGCAGTTGCATAGTTGATTGCAGAGTTCCTGTTCATGCTGTTCATGCTACATTTTTGTAATCGTTCATGTGGTTCATGTTGTGACTGTTGTGCAACATGCCTGCAGAAGTGCTTTGTAGATGTTGCTTCCACACTCCTACATTTTTTCTACCATTCTGCAGCTTTGTGTTATGCTCATGTATCTGTGTAACAGGATTTCAGCTGCTATTTTGCAATCTGAAACGAAAAGGCATTCTTTTTATAGTTTGTAAAGTACACTAAGCTGTATTAATGTAACTTCTGCAAACACCAAGGAAAAATGAAAACAGCATCAGTATTCAACAAATAGGCTCAGAAAGGGGATGCAACTATGTAATATGCCATCCCTGTAATTTTGTGGTGTTAACTGAGCTGCCCCCTGTTCTATGATATATAGCAACTTTCATACTAGAAACCTCTCAGTCTGGACCTCTTGGGCAAACCTATTAAAAGCACAAGCGTGATGCCACAAAAGGAGGTGGGAAACCTATTGGCTCTTTCTTTCCTTCTTTTCTCGTCGTAACAGATATTCTGTGCAATGACTTATGCAATGAAAAACTATTTTCTAACGATCCTCCTCAATTCTGCTGTAAGTGAATATAGACTGAAACAGTTTCATGTCATTCACACCATCAGAAATTATGGTATTACACATGATCACAAATGGACACAAACACATACACTTTTATGAGAGCTGTAGTCCAAAGCAAGGAAAAATACATTACCTTGACTTAAAAAAATACCTAGTACTGTATTTAAATATTCTAGAAAAAAATAGGTTCCTGTATTATAACAATTAAAATGTGGATTATCACAGCACATTACAACAACTGTAATAATTAAAAAAACAAACCCAAAAAGTAAACCTAACTGAATGTGCAGTTCCCAATTCTTCCTTTCTAAAAATGCTGATTCAGAATTACAGACTATAGTCCACACTATATGTGAAGATCTGTGAATGACTGATCTTTAAAAGGCAGTCTTAAACAAACAGTTACAAAGTTGCTGCAAATGCAACACCTTGTAGGAGTTCAGTTACAACTACATCCTTTCTTACACAAATGGGGTTGATCCTGCTACGGCACTGTAATCTCTCATTACGGTGAAAGACTTGCAATATATCAGGCATTCATTCACACCTGGCTGAGGCACAATCTGAACACAGAATGCGACAATGCTGTAACAATGTAAGAAAAGTTAATACTTCTGCAAAAGAGACACTAGCTTTAAAATTGGCTTCAGTCTTAATGTAATTGAAGGGAGATCATAAATTGGAAGATTTCCCATCCTTTCACCTATGCACTGTTGAAGTCCACCCAATTTGAGGTGATTCTCTCTACTTCGGAATAAACTCCTGCATCATTCTAGAAGTCCTCCACCTTCTGGAGGGATTTTTGGAGACAAAGTGGGAAGAAAGGGATGGGGAACGTTCCTACTTTGATATTCTGTAAGTTGGTTTTTCTTCAGATACAAGTTGTCTGGATCTCCCAATCCAATATGCAAATTCTCAATTTATTTCATAAACACAAGGAATTTCTGTTGTTGTGTTTTTAAAAATCAAACTGGAACAGCCCCACAATGCAGAGCCAGAAAAGGAGGAAAAAAGACATTCCAAACTGCAAAGTATTCCATTTGCCCCTTTAATGAGGAACACTGAGATCATCCCAGAGTATTTATCAGCACTAAAATTATTTTGTTGGTTTTTTTTCCTGACCTACCAAACAGAAATAGTATGAAACAGCTTATGCCTAAACAAAAAAGGCTGCTGTTGAGCAGCACATATTTGGGGAAAGTGTTTTCAAACTACTGTAGGAAAATTTTAATCACTAATGTACACTTCCTGTTTTAAAAAAAAACAACAGAAAAATTGTGTTGAAAGACTGTTTTCTGCATATAAGCCAAAGCAAAATGCATATAGAGATTTGTTTTGGCTCATAGAATTTGTTTGTTTGTGTTTGAGCAAAAGCCATACTTATAATCAATGACCTGTAATTAGAAGAATTTACCCTGAAAATATCTCTCTCAAATGTATATTGCTCAACAGTGGGCATTTTGTCTGCACATAAGCAGCTTCTTGTAAAGCTGTTTAGAAGGTGAGAAAACCTGTCTATAAGTATCTGTACATTTCATCCTCACTTGGATACACACCTTAACATAGTGAAGGGATTTGAATGTACTGTATCACAGAAGCTGAGGGGAATACTATCAGGAAGTTATATTCTGAACAGGGTCATTCAAGGAAGACTACTCAAAGCTGAGACACCAAACTAAGATGGATCTACCTTCTTCAGAAATTAACAGTTTTATTTTATTTTATTTTATTTATTTATTTATTTGATTTATATCCCAC